TAGCGTGCTATCCACAAACACATCATACACGGAGCGTGCTACCCACAAACCCATCATACAAATAGCGTGCTATCCACAAACACATCATACACATAGCGTGCTATCCACAAACTCATCATACACAGTGTGCCATCCACAAACACATCCTACACTAGCGTGCTACCCACAAACCCATCATACACATAGCGTGCTATCTGCAAACAAATCATACACAGTGTGTTATCCACAAACCCATCATACACATAACGTGCTATCCACAAACACAGCATACACATAGCGTGCTATACACAATTACATCATACACATAGCGTGCTACTAACAAGCCCATCATACACTTAGCATGTTACCCACAAACCCATCATACACATAGTGTTCTATCCACAAGTCCATCATACACATAGCGTGCTACCCACAAACCCATCATACACTAGCGTGCTACCCACAAACCCATCATACACATAGCGTGCTATCTGCAAACAAATCATACACAGTGTGTTATCCACAAACACATCATACACATAGCGTGCTATCTACAAGCCCATCATACACATAGCGTGCTACCCACAAACAAATCATACACAGAGCGTGCTATACACAATTACATCATACACATAGCGTGTTATCAGCAAACCCATCATACACATAGCGTGCTATCAACAAACCCACCATATACATCGTGCTTCTTTCTCAATCACTGTTACATTTACAAGGATTCATTTTGGGTTATGTATATTTGACGAAATCATGTAACAGGTGTATTTTAAAGAACAAGAGAGACAGAGACAATATGGATTATCTGTAATATGTGCACTCACTTAGAGTGATAGAACGAGAACTGTTATTATTGTTTTTAAACTTTCAAATTGAGAAAATCAATTGAAATTAATTTTCAGTTTGAAGTTCAGCATTATGAATAAGGTCTTTCAAACTCGAGTAAAAATCCAACACCAAATATGGTTCAATCGATTAGCCAGCCTTTGATTTGTCATTCAAAGGAAAAGTGTGATCAATTCAGTAATTATTTCATTCTTGACGTGAGAACGATTCTATTCCATACACATGTATTAATGAAAGGTAAAACATTTCAGGTATTTCTAATGAGTAATCATAAATAATAGGAGAAAAATAGAAATCTTTATAATACCAGCATAGTAACTCATCCAAGATCAATCGGGTCTGTCACAGAACATCAAATAAAGCACAATCAAAATTGCACACTGAAATATCATATTTGGGCACATTGAATTATAAAAGAGGAGTTACGAGACCAGCATCGTCTGATTGTTGTGGACATATGGTACAAAATGTTTTGAAAGCCGGAAAAGGCATATCAGGCATATATATATACATTTAGTATTTTTCATTTTGAAAAGAAAATCTTCAGTACAGACTACTGTTACGTGAATAAGCAGATACATACATAAATGTAGCAGTTTATAGTCAGATTTAAATTTTGAATGTCGTTTGGAATAAAACGCCGTTCTCATTGGAAAACGTGACATTACTTTCTTGTACCAACCACCCAGGACTTACACGGCGGGTGTCGTCGATGAAGCAGTAGACGCATACTCTAGTGGAACGCCTGGTCCTGTTCTTCTTTCACTTTTTCATGAGTTTCCGTTGAAAATCTTCTTTTGTTCATATGTTGCCATAGTTTTCTTGAACGTGTGTTCGGATTATGATTCTGATCACTCGATGATCATGTCTCTCTCTCTCTCTCTCTCTCTCTCTCTCTCTCTCTCTCTCTCTCTCTCTCTCTCTCTCTCTCTCTCTCTCTCTCTCTCTCTCTCTCTCTCATTCAATATGAGTGAAAAAGGGAGACAAACTTCCGTTACAACTCGCTGCAGATACAATTTCTTCAGGTAAAATCTATAAAATAAATATTTCAAGTACGTTTCCATTCAATCCGACATCTTTTTTGAATGGTGAACACGCTATAACATCCTCTACACAATCCATGTTTAAGGAAAGATGATAAAATTAGTATGTAATCCAATGTTGATGGTATAAATAATATTTGTAATTTTTTCTGGGGAAAAAGCAGTATTATACAATTTCATGAAACAACGCCAATTATATTAACTTTCCAAAATATTCTCGTATTCAAGTAAGATTATCCAACAAAATAAGTGAAGCCATATAAAGGTGTGGTACTGAAAATTACAAAATGAAAAACTGAATGCACTATTCATTGATATTTACATCTTAATTACTACAAATGCAGTAATGTGCATCACCAATACATAAAACAGCAAAACAAAAACGACCATGTTATAATGAGCAATTTAGAGCAGAGCCGATACTCATGTATAATGAGCATCACCCTATGGAAAATAATGGTGCTTTATGATAAACAGATTTTCAGAAAATGTTGTGGCTTATTAAAACATTTGATAGAGTATGAAAAATGATGGTGTTTTAAACCAGTTTGTCACAACTCGTAATACAGAATGACTTTCAAAAGAAAGATAAACAGACAATGTCAATGGCTTGTTAAACGATCAAATGAAGTGCAGGAAATGATGTCTTGTTACAGTATGCAATCTAGTGTGAAATTGATTAGACTGTCAATTACACAGAGTCAAAATACTGACGTGTTGAATGCATGATATATTATAGATATGACTATCCGCGTGTTTACAATAATTTATATAGTATAAGAAATGATAATGTGTTACATTACTGATGATTCAGTAAAAAGATTATGTATTTATATTGACAATGTTTGGAACTGCACCGTAATTGAGACACAGTGGTATACAGTTGTAGGTATAAAATGACATTTAAAACATTGTTATTGTCAATTCATTATAATACACTACAGGTGTCAAATGACAACGCTACAATGTAATGATGTCGTTTTGTAAATAAAAAACGCAAAATCAAATCCATTATAATTAAATATTCTGTTATGAGCCCTGATGACAAGGATCGCCAGCAATCATGACGATAAAACTTTATCAATTAAATCAAATTACTTCTAACCTGACGCCATTTAACATTTGTCACTGATAACAATTGTTCTGGGCAAATCAAACAGTATTAAAACCACATGATATAACATTGAGACAAGAAACGGTTCTTGAAGAAATGATTTGTCATCCAACATTTGTGGAATCTAAGAACTTTCCCAGGGTTGGTCGATATTGGACGTTACATAAAGACAGGGTTGTTGACAGTGGGACGAGCGACCAATAAAGAATTCACGTTGTTCAATTCATCTAATCATGCATTATATTATCGATAAATTTCGTGTGATGTTTCCTACAACATTCACAATATTTCTTGTACCGTTCTGATAATTTTCTGAATGCTAATGTTTTCTGTTAATTTAACAACAATATAATACCGAACACAGGCATTTCTTTGTTAATTAACCAACAGATTTTGGTGATATATTTTAAGCAAGAAATATGTTATCGACACCACACAAAGACTATGAGGATGATGTTGAATGAAGTATTTTGACTATAGATAAACATATTACGTACGCGTATAAACAACACAAGTTGAAAAGAGAATATACATGGTCAGCTGGGCTATAGAATGGCGAATAAAGAAACGACTGGGATATATAAAAACGGTTTTACCATGCTGAACATTTTCTTACTATGTCATTCATTGGTACACCCAATTGATTCCGACACTGAGAGTATAAAATGGTTACTAGGAATCAAGGGAATTAAAGACACTGAGAAATGAATCGTACACTAACAGAAAGAATAAAAGCAAACTTCAGTGCAGAAATATAGAAATATTTTTCTCCAAAATAAATTACTCACAATATGTATGATTGCCCAAAATTTTATAAACATGTTAATATCACTTGGCTTTATAAAAATCCCATTGTTTTATAGATATGCATAAGATATATTCGTGCGATGCACTATATGAATCTTTATATATATATACATGTTGTAAAAGATTACACAAATGATAAACATGCGATAATAAACAAGAACGATCGTCCGATTTCTGAGGCTGTATTAGCTGTTTTTGTTCCTCAGTTTAGAAGATTTAAACTTTTAATATATTCTTTGTTTTCATTGTCACAATGTAAAAACAAAACATATGTTATATCAGTACGCTTAATTAGATTTTATTTAACTTACCTTTAAAAGAACGTTTGAGCTTTCCTCTTGCCTAAAAATAAAAAAAAATCCAGACAGGAAATAATTTTCCAGTATAAAATCTGTAGTGAGTGTCTAATTGGGAAAAAAGTATACTTTTTAAATGTAACCATATGTCCACGACATTGTGTGTTATTTGTGATTATCATTGGAAACAATCGATCTCAATTCAAACAACCTGTCGTCTCATCTCACTTCAGACTTCGTTATATTGACCCTATAGATCCAATCTTAATTCAATCAGATTCGACATGATATACAGAATTCAGAAACTGTATATAAGTAACATTATTTGTTCATGGTGCAGGTTTATTTATTGAAAGTTAAATAGAAATTTACATATTCTGTACGTGAACAGATTAACTGCTTTGCTAGTTTCTGAAAGCAAAATTTATCGGAGATTAACAGGGATTTATCTGAAGTGCGTTCTCTACCGTCTATGTGACTAGAAGGTCAATAGCAGGACCAAACGGTCATAAAACCTAGTCTAAGATGTGATCGCTTTGTGATGACAATGTGTAAAGTGGCCACTTAAAACACCGTAAGTCTCTTCTTTCGGATGCATTCAATTCATAATTCAGATTTCCGAATTGGTGTGGGCGTATTTGGTCGGAAAGGTCGCGTGTATGCACACTGCCACCTTGATATCCTGCCTGGCACGCGACACTCGGCGATTCTGATTGGCTAAATGTGATCAACACGAGCTCTTTATTTACATAGCAGCATTTTAATATAAACTGATTTTTCATTAATTTCTACATGAAGACGAATTACTCCTTAACCGAATGTAGCTGGTAGGATGTTGCGAAGTTAAACAGGTCATGTTTTTTGACGAAGTTGTTTTATAAAACAATATTTTTAAAAAACAAAATGGATGAAACAGACTTTGACAATTTTGATTCAGCTCTTAACGATGAATTTTCCCTGTCACCCGTTTCACCCTACTCATCATTCAGTGACAGTCTTTCACCATTTTCTAATGAATCGTTGTCCTCCAGTTGTCGGAAAAGCGATGAAGGACTACGGCGACGAAAACGCCGACGATGTCCGTATCAGCTTGTACAACAGAGAGAGGCTGCTAACCAAAGAGAAAGAAAAAGAATGCAGTCCATTAATGAAGCGTTTGAAGGACTTCGTACCCACATCCCTACATTACCGTATGAGAAACGGTTATCTAAGGTGGACACGCTGAGATTGGCTATAGGATATATAGCATTTCTATCAGACTTAGTACAAACCGACTCGGACAATCAGGAAAGATTGAACCCTAATTCAGGATTACAGACAAGGAAAGTGGTTATCCATTATCATACAAGTAAGTGATTTTTCTCAGATTTTCTATTTGTCATTACCGTAATTCTTGTTCTTCTTGTCTTTATTTAATTTGAGGCCAGATAATACTGATCATAAAAGATAGTTAAGTATCACCGTTACTGATATGTGGTAGAAAAAGAATATGGTGATTTTTTTTTTTTTTTTTTTTGTAAAAAATGTATCAAGTCGCAACAATAAGCGAATTTACATTAAGGAATGAACTGAAACTATTAAAACCAGGCTGATACAGTACCGCTAGCGATAAGGGAAAGACGTGTAAGAAAAGTCTTTAAATCGAGATCATTACTATAATGGCGAATGCTTTTAATTTATGTTATATTCAACATACCGTTATCTATGAGGGCCCATTAAATATTTTTGATTTTCTCTTCAGCGAGAAAATGTGCCATCATGTGGTATATAACCCGCACGTGACATCTTTATCGTTCGGATTTCTTTAAAACCTTCGCATAACATTTTTTAAAAAAATAAAAAAATAAGAATAACGAACAAGCTTTCTAAATAATGTTTAGTTAAGTGATATATTTTATTGATACAATATGAAAAAAATGACTAAATTATGTACAGATGAACAAATCTGCTTTAATACTTGAAATCACACTCTTAACTGAATGCATTCCTTACTCTGAAAAAAAATATATGTTCTTACATTTGGGGATATCTGTATTACAAAAAGCATTCTATTTTCATCAATAAACATTCAACATATACTAAGAAGTATATTACATATTTGTGTTTGTCTATTGAGTACGGGTTTTCAGGTACAAAACATCACCTACTAATACGTTGTATGGGAGGTTTGTCAGCTCTTAGAGTTAAAAAAAATAAAGCGTCACTTTATACCAAAAACCCATAGAGAAACACGTGTTAGTGAAGTAGCGCTGAGGTTCCTCACATGTCATTAAAGCAGCAGGTTATCTGACCTTAACAGAGGTATATGACCTCACTTCTACCACAAACCACAGTTAAAACAGGTAAGTAAAACAGCAAGAAATCTGACTTTAACAGAGGTATATGACCCCACTTCTACCATAAACCACAGTTAAAACACACCAGAAATCTTACCATAATACCGACAAATAAATATGGAGAGCGTATAGTTCTATTATCAAAAACAGTATTTCAGAAATTTATGTTACAGGATAAAGTTGGAGTTGTCTTCTCTTAAAAAATCATACAAACACAAATGTTAAAACAAATATGAAGTTTTATGATACGGAAAGTTGGTTTGGAATCAGTTGATACTGAAATAAGCAAGTATCTTGATGTTTTACATGGAACCAATAGGAACGTGTAGAGATATCGTTTCCTTTAAACATAAGTTTATATTTAACAAGATTATAGGGATATTTCATGATGTGTAATATATATCAATTTCCTTCACGTTTTTTGGTTTTGGTTTTAAGTAAATGTCTTTGGTTATTTTCTATACGGCTTTAGTTATAATTATCACAATTCATTTCGTTTTGCATATCATTTTTTCTCTTTTCTTTTCTTTTTTTTCTTTTATATAAACTGATTACTGGGTTCAGAAAAATATGACATATTCCAAATGATAAATTTGACTGTTAGAGGGCTGTATTCAGTACAGGCATTATGTCTGAAAAATAATTGTCATTCTCAGACTTTGCATATAACTACAGATTCAAAATAGTGCTAAAAGGCAAACATATTAAGAGCACATGTTCACAAGCGAACAAACACTTTGGTCTTCATATATGTCATCTTGGAGTATGTATTGTTTCCAAACGGGGCAACGGTTTTCTGACTTATGAGCTGTGCTGTTTATAAGGGGTCGTTATAGGGGTATTTTAACATTCCCAAACTTTTAAGACAAACACGATGCTACAATTTATTGATAAAGACGGTCTTAATTAAAGCAACTAAACGAGCATTGCTATCTACTTGAAACGGACGATTTGTTTGCCGACGATTGCCGATGTTTACCGACTCTCTGCAATGTTTATTCACGGCTCATTTCAAACGCTCGTCGATTTCTCTTACAATAATAAATTGCTGCCCACTATCACGTGACTAATTTTTTTCTGTTTTTGCACGTGTTTAGGCTCATCCATGGAAGACAGTGAAATGTTTGGATTACCGCCCTTGACTGGACATTCTTTATCGTGGAGGGACGAGAAAATGCCCTTGGATGGACGAAAGAATATAATGGTGGCAAAAATATGGACACCAGAAGTTCCACGATCACATGGCAGTTCCCAGATTGAGACAGAATTCCCCATATTAGCTGACTCGACAAACCCTTTGTGATTTACAAATATATATATAATTATATATCTATATTTATAATATATTTATATCCGGTTACAAATAAGTTCACTCATATAAATCATCTATGTTTAAAACTTTGTTTTATTGTAGACGAGTTTGGTGTTAACAAAAACTTTTTTTATTCTGGGAACTCGGAAACATCCGATTTCTACTGGTGATGAACTCGTTAAGATATTGAGAACTCAAAATGCATTTACAAAGAGTTCTTTAAATAGAAATGTAACCCACCAACTCTTTACCAAGGTATTAATGTTTATTTTTCTACAGTTATATACGGAAAATAAATATCATTAAGGACAAGAGTCGAAACATATCCCAATATTGGAATCGAAAGACTTGGCGAGATAGAAGTGTTGATTGTGAAACGCATAAATCGTTTTGTTCAAAGGCAAATGTGATACAAATGTAAATTATTGTCAAGGACAAGATGACACTCTTTCTGTTGTTTCCTTCATGTATTTGACATGATAAAAAGATATTTGCATATTAAAGTAAATCTTCAAACATTTCACTTGCTTTCAGTCCCTTTTAAAAAAGAAGAAGAAAATTTGTTTCAAACACAAATGTTTCAGGAACGAAGAATAAGTTGAATTTTTCCATAAAGGATCTTTATTTCACTTTGTTTACAGTTCGATTTCCACTTCTTTCCTTAATGCATTAGTCCTACAACGCTTCCCAACATTGATAGATTCAAACTGAAAATATAAATACCAACAATTCAATATATTGTTATGTATCATTAAGTGTAATGTAACCGCGACGATTTAAATATATAAGACAATTGTGTACAAGTTTCCTAATACATGTCAATATTAACAAATCTATTCTAGACGGATGGATTTTTTGCATTGAAAAAAAATCAAACCGTGCCTTCTCTGAAATGCTGAATCAATATATCGCAAATGTAGTGCTTAAAGAGCAATAATTAAAATTTAAAAATTAAAGATACTTCTTATTGCAGAAAAAGCGTTTTGACACGTTTAAAAGTAAAAATTTGGAGGACAAAATAAAAAAGATGCAGCTATTTTGTTTGCGACAATTTCAATTCATGACATAACGTAATTGTCCATATTATGCCATCACAAATGACAATATAACACCCGTAGCAAATGAAATATGTGTCAGAATATATAATTACAAAAGTGACATATACAAAAATATAGCATAACATAACATCATTACACAGTAAGTGGATTGATTGTTATTATGTTATGTTATTGTGCTTATTGTATATAAAAAAAGATACCTACTATGTTATCGGTAACAAAACAATGCATTTTACAAATGTAACATTTGCTTAAAACGGAATTGTCAATTCAGGTTAATTAGTTAAGGTCGAGGTACATGTAACTTTGGGTCGGTCGGGTCATGGTTAGAGGTAAAGGTGAGGTAACATTGGGTCGGGTCATGGTAAGAGGTAAAGGCGATAACTTTCGGTCGGGTCAGGGTTAGAGGTAAAGGTGAGGTAACTTTGGGTCGGGTCATGGTTAGAGGTAAAGGCGATAACTTTCGGTCGGGTCATGGTTAGAGGTAAAGGTCGGATCATGGTTAGAGGCGGGGTAACTTTGGGTCGGGTCATGGTTAGAGGTAAAGGTGAGGTAACTTTGGGTCGGGTCATGGTAAGAGGTAAAGGCGATAACTTTGGGTCGGGTCATGGTTAGAGGTAAAGGTGAGGTAACTTTGGGTCGGGTCATGGTAAGAGGTAAAGGCGATAACTTTGGGTCGGGTCATGGTTAGAGGTAAAGGCGATAACTTTGGGTCGGGTCATGGTTAGAGGTAAAGGTGAGGTAACTTTGGGTCGGGTCATGGTTAGAGGTAAAGGTGAGGTAACTCTGGGTCGGGTCATGGTTAGTGGTAAAGGCGATAACTTTCGGTCGGGTCAGGGCTAGAGGTAAAGGTGAGGTAACTTTGGGTCGGGTCATGGTTAGAGGTAAAGGTGAGGTAACATGGTTAGAGGTAAAGGCGATAACTTTCGGTCGGGTCAGGGCTAGAGGTAAAGGCGGGGTAACTTTGGGACGAGTCAGGGTTAGAGGTAAAGGTGGGGTAACTTTGGGACGGGTCAGGGTTAGAGGTAAAGGCGGGGTAACTTTGAGACGGGTCAGGGTTAGAGGTAAAGGTGGGATAGCTTTGGGACGTGTCAGGGTTAGAGGTAAAGGTGAGGTAACTTTGGGACTGGTCAGGGTTAGAGGTAAAGGTGTAGTAACTTTTGGACGGGTCAGTGTTAGAGGTAAAGGTGAGGCTACTTTGTGTCGGGTCAGGGTTAGAGGTAAAGAAGAGGTAACTTTTGGACGGGTCAGGGTTAGAGTTAAAGGTGGGATAACGTCGGGACTGGTCAGGGTTAGAGTTAAAGGTGGGATAACGTCGGGACTGGTCAGGGTTAGAGGTAAAGGTGGGGTAACTTTGGGACTGGTCAGGGTTAGAGGTAAAGGTGGGGTAATTTTAGGACGGGTCAGGATTAGAGTTAAAGGCGGGATAACTTTGGGCTGAAGTACGGTTAGAATTGAGATAACTTTGGTCGCAGTACAAAGGTTATGGTCAAAGTGAGGTATCTTTTGATCGAAATGCAGCAAAATTGGGATAACAATGGAGATGGGACAGGGTTAGAGGGAAGGAAGAGGTAGCGTTTGATTAAGGAAGAGTCAGGTGTAACTTCGGGATAATGCAAAGTCATTGGTTAACTTGAGTTCGAAATCAGCGTGGCCAATTGTTAATAATGGTTTGAAAAAAAAACTGGATGTCAGACGACTGTATTGTTTTTTATCATTAAAATGAAATTGGAAACACACAAATTCACGAACAATTGGCAAAGAATGGACGGTAACATTCACACAAGTTGCAGACAACAGTTTCTATAAAATCAACCCAGTGTTAGGCTATGCGCCAACCACAAACACTGTACATTGTATTTCTTCAAGGGAAATCCTCCGGCTCAGATTTCACCACCATTCAAGTTGTTTCTCCTCTGTCACATCGGAGATCAGCCCGTTTCAGGTAATTATTAGGATGTTTTAATGTTCCGTGAAGCGTATCTATGAAATTGGCACAAATGATTTATAAATTTCACGGTCGGGTTATGCCACATATTAAAACAGGTATCCATACATCTATGCTGTATGCTTTGTTCGTGTGGATGACTTTCGGTTTTTTTCAAATCTAGGTAACCGATCGCCATCATTCCGTTACCACAGAAAAATGAAATGTTATAAAGAAATTAACTGCCGGTTCTGTTTGTCTGGCTGCTGATATCTTTAACTAATTATCCCATCAATCAACATTCAAAATGGCGCTGATGTCGGATCACCGCTCTACGTGTATTTAAAGTGAAGCCGTTTGTAAGCCGCCGTGACGCCATAACAACGCTATGTAAACAAAAGCCCGTGTACATTGAACAGTAAATGACCCAAACAAATGACCGCTGGATTACACACGTTATTACAACGCTTAATTTTCATGGTCATAAGATATTTGCTGAATGGCCACTTGCATCATTAATAACCTCAATGTTTACATAGCGGAAGGCTAATTCAGATCACGTTACAAGGTAAAGGGCCATATCACCTGTTTCGTAACCTATCGGGTCTTAATTCAATAGAATATAAAAATAAACCAGTCCGATGAAATCAAGCGCCAGCCACAGGTTCGGATTACGCTTAGGGTGGGGAGGGCCTTCTTGTTCCTCTCTACACGATGTAAAGCTTTATTCAAAATGTATCGTTGTAATACTTCATAGGGCATAAAAGACATTTTATTTAGTCATAAATGTTCAAAACTCTAGTTAATATATGCTAAAATCGTATTTGGAATTTACTATGTAAATTTGACTGAGGGTACACAATCTATTGTGATGCATCAAATTCAGTTTTTTCAAAGGATTGCTAAAATGAACGTTTCAATACAAACGTAATGGAATCTCATGCACGATGCCATACTAAATGTTTGAATTTTAGATTTAAGTAGATTTTTGAAAAAACGCGCGATTGTGAGAATTAGAAAAATATACAATGGTTGCATTAAACACTTGTGATGGCATTTTCACAAACCAACAAGTCTTGCGTTTACCAGAACATGAAACAAATGGACTAATCGCTGTAGAATATTATAAAATATAAATGACACAGTCACAAATGATAAGAGTGTATTTATAATCCAATTGATCCGGCATGGTTTGTTTGTGATTACCCGATCTAGTGCGTACTGATTAGTTCTAATTGATTGTTCCGACAAAATAGCCTTGTCTTGGTGTTCCAGTGAACAGTACATTTACAATCGCAGTTTTGTTATTAATCAAATACTGGATTTTTTTTCTTTGCTCGTTTGATGGATCGGCGCGGGAAATTTCCGATCAGACCCAGCTGGTCAAAGCCAGAAGACAGAATCAATGCCATTTAATGGTTAACACGAGGGTAGCCCGAAGACAACTCGAAACATAACTATCTAATTGGCAGTAAACGGTGCGGATTTGAAACTCTTGAAATCTTTAGGTTTCTGACGTAGGCGATGCATTTCTCCAAACAAAAAAAATTAATCAAACAAAACAAAGCGATACAAAAAGTTGATTATAACTTGTTTGTTCTCAGACTGATCTTAGTACATTAATTTCAACACTTTTTGTCTTAACAGACGACTCGAGATGTTGTATTTGTATCTCGGTATAGTAGTTGTCTGTGTCTAATTAATCCTAAGTTACCAGTCCCAGTGTGTTGTGATGTCACCCTGGTGTACAGTTAATCCTGAAGTGACCAGTCCCTGTGAATCGTGATGATACCTAGATGTACAGTTAATCCTAAAGTGACCATACACTTTGAGTCGTGATGTTAACTCATTCAACAGTAACCAGTCCACGCGAGTCGTGATGTTACATCGGTCAAGAGTGAGCAGTCCACGCGAGTTGTGATGTCTTCTCGGCCAAGAGTGAACAGTCCACGTGAGTCGTGATGTCATCTCGGCCAAGAGTGAGCAGTCCACGTGAGTCGTGATGT